CTTGTCTGTCCTTGTCTACCCTTGTACTGATGTAGTGTGGATCACAGTTTGGGAAGGAGCTTCTCCAAGGGGAGGAAGTTTATTAGCACCTCTGGTAAAGTCCTGGGTCCTCTTTCACCCTGTGCTGAGCTCCACATGATATTATGGGGCACTGTCACAGCCCCCATGGCCTGTGTACGGTGTGCCTTTGGGGTGGCGGGGCTCCGTTGCAGTTTCCCCTCTGGCTCCACACACCACACTGTTTGCAGATGTCAGAGGACTGGCTGTTCAGTGGCAATGCTGATCTGAAATGGAGCTTCCTGTGAAATCCAGAGGCGTGCTTTCCCATCCACGCTCACCGTGACCCAGCACACCAACCTCCGCACCTCGCTACATCCCAGGGCTTGCTGGCCTGGGGAGGAAACGCTGCAGATACTCGGATGTGCACGTCTGCTGAATGAGCGCGTGGTGTAGCAGTGGGGATCGGGGATAGCCTCCCTGCAAGAAACTGAGCAGCTCATCACCACCTGAAGCTCAGGTACACAGCGAGGAGGGTGGTACTGCAGCAGCTTGCTGGCACAGAGCACTCTGTGGTCCAGGCTGAAAGGATTTCTGCTCAAAGCTAATACTGAATTGGGAGACCTCTGAGAAGACGCAAAGCGGATGGCGTCCTCGTGTTTGAAACCTATTCCTTTTGGCTGGCACATTCTTGCATTACTCACTGTCTTGCTCAGAAGAAAGTGGGATCATGTTGTCAGTTGTAGCTGTTACCCATGGAGAACGTGCAGCCGGATTGATGGCTGAGCAAAATGCCTGGAAAGTATAATGGGCAAGACATGCAGGAGCTGTGCTGTCGCAGTGGGAGAGCTGACCGCTTGGGAGGCTGCACCCGGTCGTCAGGGAAGGCCACCATCACCTTTGGATCTGCGAGCAGAGACTATATTCTGCTAATTTTCATACCGAGTTGTCTCAAACTGTGCTGCTTTCATGTGCTGCCTTGATGCTTGTTAGCAGACACACATATGGGCTGCAGACTTTAATGGGATGCCTTGATCTGGGTAGGGCACGTTCTCCTTCACAGATGTGACCTGAGACGCACATGTATCGTTTCAGTTGGATTGATGACCCCTCGGGAGCCGAAATGCTAATGGAGCCCAAACCAGACTTCAGTTAAAGATATAAACAGAAACTCCGTCTTCATTTAAATTCTGGGCAAAAGATCAACATTAAATGCAACATGATTAGAATCCAAACACAAGGGTGCAGAGATGCATTGTTCACAGCTACTGTTGTTTGACCCCTTAGATGTGTGGAGTGTTTTGTTTGTAGTAAATATTTTTGAAGCTTAAGACATCAGAGCCCAAACCTGACACTCTGCCTGCAACTAATATCTCCCTTTGGCACAAGCAGACGGCAAGGAGCTTTCCAAAGACAAGCACAAGTGTCAGGCAGTCGCCCTCGGTAGGCTTTTCACAGCCGAGTTCCAGGGAGTTATATAGGTTTACAATCCTTGGCTTTTGTTTGGCTCACAGATGTAATTACAAAAACCTGGTGTTTCTCATTAAGCGTCCTTCTCTCATTTCTTCCTGTAAAGAAGATCTGATGTATATTATACGGAGGAACATGGGCCATTCAAACCGTGATCCTTCCAGTCAGTGGGAGTACGGTGTGCTCTGCAAGGAGGGGGAGGAACACGGGAGACAAGGCAGAGACCAGCCAAAAAAGAGGGTGATTTTAGGGTTGGGACGACTTTTAGCATATTGTACTGGAAGCCAGCAGCGGAGCAAGCGTTCCCCTTTGCTTTTTGGAGCCAGAGAGGATTTCAGTCCGTACTCAGCTCTGTCCTTGGACACTCCTGCTCCCTGCTTTTACACCAGTAAAAGGACCAACTTTAGGACTGGCTGAAGTGCTGGCTTTTCATGAAGCAAAGTGTTTCACTGGCAATTGGAGGAAAGCCTCCATGGTTTTTTGACCAACACTCAGAAAACATTCTCCAGTGTTACCTGCCAGATAAGAAACAGGCATCTTGCATCCTGTCCCTCTGCAGTATGGCATCCGATTTATTAATATGAATAAGAATATTGAGAGAACATAAAATACAAGGTAGCCAGTCTGTGCTAATGAGAAAGCCGAGCGAGATGTTCTCAATGTTTCCCTCTGGACTTATAACCTCTATACATAGCGAGCCTGTAAAATGGCATCAGCCCGCCCCCCGCAGCGTTGCCGTCCTGGCTGACAGCACGCCTGGCGTGGAGGATCCCAAGCAGATCTGTTTGGAGCTGAGTGTTGGAAATGAGTGGGGATCAGTCCAGTGAGCAGGATTTGGGGACGGTCCAGAGGAGCTGAGGTTGAAAGGATCAAGTGCGATGTGTCCATCTTCAACCATATGTGCTCTTTCTCCAGTACAGAGCTCAGGGCTTGTTCTCTGCTCCCCCATCAAAAAAGCCTTAAGTGCCTCCTGCTTTTTTCTATTTTATCAGCAGCTCTTTGTTGTGAAAAAACTCCCAACTTTTGCATTATACCATTTTCTTCTGATTCTTCTTGCAGATTTTAGGTTGAAGCTGATCGTATTTGGTTAAGTGTACTTTGAAATTCCTGCTTGAAAATAATCCTCCTGTGAGCTAACTACTGTTACTGGATTAATTTAAAATCGTTCCCTACGTTGTGCACAGGGCTCCCTCTTGCACTAAGGCAGCAGTGGCAGCCTCCAGTTCCAGTGTGCAGTTTCTGGCTTGGCTTGAGACTAATGGAACTAGTTTGGAACTAGATGATCTTTAAGGTCCCTTCCAACCCTAACTGTTCTATGATTCTAATCCTGAAAAAGAAGTGCAGTCCCTAATTGTGCTTGTCATGCCATCGTTATGGCCGATAGTGAACAGAGAAGGAGGGCAGGCTTAACTCTGCTGTATCGGCTCTGTGGTTTCCTAGAGTTTAGAGAAGTCTTTCTGCTGCTCCTGCTTTTCTTTGCAAAATAAGTGACCAGAACCATGAGTCCTAAGTAGCTGCAGTTCTAAGTGTTGTGTGTGTGTCTTCATATGGTGGTTGGGTCCCAACAGGCTCTAGAATTAATCTCAAATAAGTTCCATGTCCAAACACTATTTTTAGAGGCACACAGCTGTCTCAGAAATTTACTGCTCCTGCTGGGATTGTGCAGCGTTGATCTCGACTGCGGCATGAGCTGCTGCGGGGAGCAGAAGGGCCTCGCCTGCTTCACAGGGAGTGAAAAGTGGAGGGATTAAAACCATGACTACTTTTAATAGCGAGGGATTGAAAGCAGCTGAGGGGAGGGGAGGGTTGGGGTTTTTTTTAAATAAAATTGTCAAGTGCAGCTGATCATTTTCAAGATGCTTGCTTAGGCCCTGGGGCTGAGGCTTGCACTCCTCACCCCGGTGCTGTCACCACGGGCATCCTCTGTGCTCCATGGACAAGGGCCTCTGAAGGGCCACCCCTGTCTGAGACGAGCCCAGGTCAGCAACTGGGGTGGAGAGGTGGGATGTAGCAAGATATTTCCATGCCAAGAGTTCCTGGGCTTGCTTTGGCTGGGTATTTATTACACATTATTTATACAAAGAGTTTCATTGACGTAACCAAGTGTAAAATCTTAATCTTCCCTTAAAGCAAACTAATTTGGTTTTTGTGAGAGCATCATTGCAGTGAATCACTGAATTTCTTCAATCACCCTGATGTGAGACCTTTGGCTGAATAGAAAACACGTGCCAAGGGATGGAAACGCGTGCTCTAGGAATGGGGAGCTGCTGTCAGAGTCTAAACAGAAATGCATTCAGCCAGTGTGGCAACAGAACTGTTTCTTTTTTCTGTTAATTTCCACTATATTTAACAGTGTGCTAGTCATCTGCGTGGGAAGTGGCGAGAAAGCAGCGTTTCTTTCATTTATCCAAAGCTTGTAGATTATCCAGCCCTTAAGGCTTCTCTGTGCACGAGTCAGAACTGGAGCCGTGTGCTGACCTTACGGCCTGAATCTTTAGAGGTGTTGTGTGCACTGCAGTAGCTAAAACAGCTCTTAATACAGCTTTTGTTTTGAAAACAGACTGATTAAAAACTTGACGTGAATAGGGGAAGTGGTAGCTGACTCTTTTAATTGCGTTGCCACCAATGCTCTTGAAATGACTTGCAAACAGCCGTCTCCCGGGAGCCATGCAGATGAATACAAGCTAATGTCATGCTGGAAGGATCCTTTCCCAGCTGCTCAGTTTAAATAGCAAAAGTCATGATTTGCTGGGATCATGGGAGCTTTTAATTCCTCATTTAATAACAGGTTTCCCTGGATGGCATATTGCTTTTGCCCTCCCTGCTGTACATGGAAAAGGTGCAGGCGAGGATAAAACCGTGCTTCCCCCAGCAGCAGCGCTCCGTGGAAGGGGCTTTGGTGTTGGATATGAGCCACTCTGTTCAGTAAATACCTGTTTGGAGGATCCCTGCTCCCATCCTCCCCAAGCTATGGGATCTGTGTCCACTTCAAAAAATGAATTGCTGACCCATCCACTAATTGCTGGGGACGAGCTGATGCCTGCTCTGAGCGGCTGTGTGCGTGCTGGACCGGGGGAACTGCAAGGTCAGCACAATGCAGAGTTTTCTGTAGATTTGGGCTGCTTTTAGCCTACGGTGACTGTTCTTAGTCCCCAGACTGAACAATGTGTTTAACAAATGATTTTAAAGGAGCTGTTGTCTGGAAGACTCCACGGATTCCCATTGGGGTATTTTGTATGAAGTTGTAGGTTGTTACCCTCACTTTCTGCAGACCCTCCTCGGCAGCGTAGAGGCAGTGAGATGCTGTAGGCAGCACCGTGCTTTGTTCTGCCTGTCAGCTGCAGTTGTAAATCTTCCCTGGTCACAAACATCAAAGGATCTTGATGAAAACGTGTTGCCTGTGAGCACCTCCTGTGTGAGAAGTGGAGAACTGCTGGCGTTAGGAGTCCAGCCATCTCTTTTGCTGAGATTTTTGCTCATCAGTTCCTATTTGAATCCTTTTTTTTTTTTTCCCCCTCTTCTCAGGTCACTTTACCTGGGAGAAATACCTGAAAGAGACATGTGCCATCCCAGCTCCTGCCCATTGCTTCAAGCAGGTAAGAGGGTGAATGAAACCCAGAAAGGCCAAAGGCGATGGTCTGTGGGTGACTCGGGAGTCCTGTGCCTGGAATAAGCCCCTTTTTTTGGCAAGGAAGATGCTTAAGGATATCAGAGACTTAACAGAAATCTAAGTTTGCTGAAGCACAGATAAAAAAGATATGTTCAGGCATTGCAAATATTAGAGTAATGCAGAAGGCAACTCTCAGGTTGTTTCATGAATAGGAACACGAGAATCTTTTTTCTCACTGCTGAGCACAATGTCTTGGAGAAAATGTTCGCAGTAGGCTGTGATCCAGGTTTTGATGGCTCCTGCGCAGCAAGGAGATTTTCTTCAGCATTCACCAGGTCTTTGTGAATTGAATAGGATCCCCCGGGCACTGGGTACCCGAGCACCGAGGTGATAACGTTGAGTACGGGGGATACAGGGGTGAATTGGCATGGCACCCCTGCATCCAGACAGAGGGGCAGCAGCACAGAGGAGCATCTGTTGGGGTCTTGGGTCGGGGGGTGATTCTTCTGAGATGAGGGCTAAAAGAGGAGAGTAGGGCTAGTTGTCTAGGTGATGCGGTACTGGAAGATGGTGGTCTGGGTCACAGATCTGCTGGCGCTTGCCAAACTTTCTTTGCGGCTCCGTGGTGTCTGCTCCCATGCTGTGCTCGGAGGATGCTGTGGGTTCTTCAGTAGAATCAGTTTTGGTGCTTTCTGACTGCGATGGTGCATATATGGGAAATGCTGTCTCTAACTGGGTCCCTGTTCCTTTCTTTGCAGTCATACACTCCACCTGCAAATGAATTCAAGATCAGCATGAAACTAGAAGCCCAGGACCCCAGGAACACCACCTCCACCTGCATTGCCACGGTGGTGGGGCTGACAGGCGCACGCCTCCGCCTGCGCCTCGATGGCAGCGATAACAAGAATGACTTCTGGCGCCTGGTGGACTCTGCTGAAATCCAGCCCATAGGAAACTGTGAGAAGAACGGAGGGATGCTGCAGCCTCCACTGGGTGAGCTGAAGTTCACTTGTCCAGCAAGCACTTATATTATCTGTGGGGAAAACCCTAGGTTTTGGGGTTTTTTTTATTTCTGTGCTTGAGTCAGAGACCCATGAACTGCCCCTGCTTATCACTGTGGTGTAGACCAGCCCTGTTACCTTGGGCTGTTAAACAGATGTGTCCCACACCAGCTCTGTATTTCCACGTGGACATCGTGGCATGGAGAGGGAGATGCTTTAGAGTGCAGATGAAAGAGCTTTTTGCACCTAGGTGAGCTGCTCACATTCCTTGCAGCTCAAGCTCAGGATTAACACCCGCTAACCGTGCTCTTCCGCCTTCTGAAATTCTGCCTGTATATCTCCAAGGAAAAACACATTTTCCGCCCATTTGTGTGAAAGAAGGACAGAGCCCCTCTGTTTCCCAGAGAACACATAAGCAATCGAGGGGTGCCCCGAAGTCCTGGTGACCCAGGGGTGCAGGCGGTAGCGTTGAAGGCAGAGCAGCTGCGATGGCCTTTCCTGGGTGATTTCCTGTGTAGGGACAGGATGAATCCAGGTTCTTTTTTTTCTGGGAGACACCAGACCGTCACACAGGCAGCGCTGGCCCATAGCTTTAGCAATGCCTCGATCTCTGGCCCTTCGCTTTAGGCTTCTGATCCTGCTTGCGAGCGCTGTCATCTCAAAGGTGTGCTTGACATGAAGCAGCTGCTATCTGTCAACGCTTTCCCCTGTGCTCCCCCTTCGAGCTGAGCGCAGGGCTGGTGTCTGGGTGGAGGTGCTTTGCTGGGGATCTGTAAATCTTGATGGAGAGAATAACCAAGAGAGCAATTAGGGCTGAGGCATCTGCTGCATCGTTGCTAGTCCTGACACTGTGATTTCAAAAGCATTTAAATTTTCATTCGTGCTGTCTAGGTGTATTTGTGCCCAAGTGTCTTTGGGGCAATAACAGGTTAGCTGGAGACCATCTGATGGGGAAACATAATGTCTGAAGAGATTCCCGGTGATATAAGTCCTGTCTCATATAAAGGGATGCTTGCAATATTTCATCTGTTTATTTATTTAATTTTGCTTGGCTGCAGCTTTATAAATAACCTGGACAGTCCAACACTTCTTCCAGTCTTCTCTTCAGTTAAACACACATTTTTTTTCTTTGACACTGGCCAAAAGATCAGCCCCTGATGAGCTGATTTGCCGGTTCCTGATTAAGCGGCAGGATTAACCTGCTTTTGCATTCTGCTACCGATGATTTTTGAAGTGTCTTCATAAATCTCTCTCTTAATTAGCACATCCCCAAATAATATCAAGCCAATCTGTAGCGATGCAAGAAACCTTCAATAGGATACCTTGAGTTAGGAATATTTTTATTCCTGTTTTTTTCCTGGAGTACCATTTGTGAGCTTTGATGGAAATACAGTCCAAATTGCAGTGGGTCACTTGAGACTGACCTTTCTGAAGAAGGAAGAAAGATGAGCAGGGGCCTGTTTTGGCACATCACACCACACGAAGCTGTGTGTATGCAAGTCTAATTATACCCTTTCCCTTCATAATTGCTACAGACAAAACCTGCTGCAGCTATTAGCATTAAAGATGCCGGTTTTTATGTTACTTTCATGCATGCTGCTGTCCCTTTGCAGACATCTCTTTGAAACCTTGGTCCCAGGGTGCAGCTCCCAGCTCCGGTGCCACCAGCCCAGGAGGCGCGGGTACCTGTCGGAGCTGGCAGCAATGGGTTCCTCCTGTGCCTTGCTGGATTTTGCCAGCAGATGGCAATAAATGTAATAGAGTTGCAGAGCAAAACTCATTTCTGACTGTGCCAGAGGAGAGGGTTCATAATATGGAAGTCTGTGTGCCCAGCTCTGATCTGTATCGCCTGCTCGGGCTGGGCTGGACAAGAGTGGTTCTCTTGCACCCAGTATAAAGACAGGGAACAAAGAGCTATTCTCCAGTTGTCCTTTCTGTCTGCAGAGTGCGAGAGCCCATACAAGCCAGCAAGGATTTTCTGTGTTCCTTGTTGTATTTTCCATGTATACACATCTACTGCTGCTCCCTTTCTTTACATAGATAATTCACGTAAAAGGTTATCTTTGCCATTCTGGGAGCTTAGCTCTCCCAGCCCCGGAGTTTGTGGCCAGCTTGTTTGGTTTCCAGGCTGCTCTGCCGGAGTTACAGGGCTGGCAGGGTGGCCGTGTTCTGACATTTCAACCCTGGCAAAAATTTGCCATGTTAATCATCACGGGATGCCCTCTGTCTTGGTCCAGTCCCAGAGTGTGCTGGTTTTGGCTGGGATAGAGTTAAGTTTCTTCACAGTAGCTAGTATGGGGCTGTGTTTTGGGTTTGTGCTGAAAACAGTGTTGATAACACAGGGATGTTCTAGTTACTGCTGAGCAGTGCTCACACACAGTCGGGGCCGTTTCTGCTCCTCACCCCTCCAGCACCTAGGGGTGCACAGGAAGCTGGGCCGGGACTCAGCTGGACAGCTGACCCCACCTGACCAAAGGGATATTCGGTACCATATGGCATCATGCTCAGCATGTAAAGCTGGGGGAGGGAGAAGAAAGAGGGGGACTTTTGGAGGGATGGTGTTTGTCTTCCCACGTAACCGTTACACCCTGCTTTGCTGGAGGTGGCTGAACGCCTGCCTGCCGATGGGGAGTGGTGATGAATTCCTTGTGTTGCTTTGTTTGTATGCACAGCTTTTGCTTTACCTGTTAAACCGTTTTTATCTCAACCCACAAGTTCTCTCACTTTTACTCTTCAATTCTCTCCCCCTTCCCACCAGGAGGGAGGGAGTGAGCGGCTGTGGGGGACTGTCTGCCTGCTGGGGTTAAACCATGACACAGGGTTACCTTCAAACACCACAGATACAGAAAGTGCGATGCCGTGTTCGGCTGAGCAGCAGAAATTGTCTGTACAGGAAGATGCGCACTTAGCAAAGATGGTGTTTTGTGATATCTGGAGAGTTCTGTTGGTTGTGCAGTCGTACTCAGTGCCATAGGCTCACAGCACGTGAATTTCCTTTTTTCTTCCCATAAGCCCCTTCCTGTTATTTCTCTACTTTTTTTTCACAGAAGGTGTCAAGCCAAAAGCTGCCATCCTTTCCTGTAATGGTTAAATCTTTTTCCCAGCCAAGTCACAGCCTCTATTTCTTCAGGTTAGCTTGCCTCCAGCTCACTGCAAGAGGTGGAGGAGGCCACCCAGCAGCTGAGATTCCCAGTTGAAGAAGAAATTTCATAACCTGAGCATCCACTTGCTGGTTCATGTCTCCCCCGTGTAGGATCACTGAAGCTGCAAGCACTAGCACTGCACAAAGTGCTCTGCCTGCATGGTCAATGTACAGACTCCTGTTATGATAAGCGAATATTGCAGTCAAACGTCAATTTCCGGATGTTTCTTTTCAACAACGTAATGTTTTGCATTCAGAGTATCTGGAAAAGGTCAAACCTGATTCTCCAGCATGAGGAGGAGGGTGGTGTGGGATCACAATGTGTGCCTGCTGCAAAGTTCCCATCAGAGCAGGTGGGTGCTGCCAAATCCAGTGGCCCTCACAGCCTTAAACTCTCCATCTCTGCTTCCTCTCCGCAGGCTTTCGGCTGAATGCCTCCTCTTGGCCCATGTTCCTTCTGAAGACTCTGAATGGAGCAGAGATGGCTCCTGTCCGGATTTTTCACAAGGTATTTTACTGTACTGTTTGCAAAGACACCCTTCTGGCATGTCCCCTTTACTGCAGAGCACAAAAATCACAGCTGGCAGCTCGTGTCGGGTCTGCTGATCCCAGAGGAGACGAACGTTGCCCAGCTTTGCCACGCTACTGCTTCTGTAGGACAGTCCCGTGCCCTCTGTGGCTGTGCTGCAGCAGTGCTGGGATGCAGACAGAGGTCTACCAAGAAAGCAGCTTGGGCTTCAGCACTTGGGCTTGAGAGATGCGCTTGTTTTTCACCCGGGCTGCAGGTGCTACTCAAAGTCAGGAACGCAATATGGGGAAGTCAGCACCTCTGTCTGGAACTTTTTAATATATCGGAGCTTGTAAGGAGTGCAAATATTGCTGTGAGGCAACACTGCAAGTGTGATTTTGTAGTTTGTATTCTCACACCCTTAGTGAAGTCGGAGAGAAACAGAAGCCAGTCTAGAGGCGTGTGCTGTGGTATGGGATGGTTGGCATGGCTTTAGTGTATCTCAGGTATAACAGACTAGGAAGAGCAAGCCCCAGATAAGGATGGATGGCGGATCTCTCACATGTCTAGCAAAGCTGAAGGTGGGGGAAGAATGATGGAGAGAGACTGTCATATCTCAGGTTTTCCTGCTCTGAGATAACAAGGTGAGAGTATCCTGCAGAGGCTCTTTTCTTAGGAGCTTTATTTTCTGCCTGTGTTGCATGACACTCTTGTCGCAGGGTGCAGTGGTCACGCAGCACTGTCTGGATTTGATCCAGCAGGCGGGTGATGGCAGAGCAGTCAGTAGGGGATTTCCTTGCCTCTTGACTCAAAGGGCACGTGGTTGCGTAGCTAGGCCAGCCTGTGCACACCTAATTGGGGTTCAAATCCAGTCCGCTAGCTCCCTTCTTCATCTGCTCGTGGAGGTGAGTTTGCTGATAGAGGGGACAGCCCTGGTCTGGGGAGGCACAGGCATATCCTCTTTGAGCACATTTTCAAATTCTCCTTGTAGGAACCACCATCTCCATCCCAAAACTTCTTCAAGACAGGTATGAAGCTGGAGGCAGTGGACAGGAAGAACCCTCACTTCATCTGCCCGGCCACCATTGGGGAGGTGAGAGGTTCTGAGGTCCTCATAACATTTGATGGCTGGAGAGGTGCCTTCGATTACTGGTGCCGATATGATTCCCGGGACATCTTTCCCGTAGGCTGGTGTTCGCTGACTGGAGATAATCTGCAGCCCCCTGGAACAAAAGGTAAGGCCCACGTTGTTGCTTAGCTGTCTTCCTACTCCGCTCAGCTCTTGAAGAGCAGCAAAACAGGCAGAGGCTAGCAGCAAGGGCATCGGGTGCCCTATCTGGCTTTCTTACGCTGCTTCATGTGTGGTAAAGGTACAGATGATGAGACCTATTAGCAGTGTAACAGCCTGGCGTCGAGGCGCTAAGGAACAGCCGTCCGTAAAGACGGGCAGGACGATGGCTCTCTGGAGGGATGGTGGTGCTGTGCGACATTGCTGAGGTCTGCTCCTCTTCAGGAATTTCCTTGGAGTCTTTCCTGCGTCTCTGAAACACACATTCCTAGGGACATTTTCACAGGGGGACTGGGTTGTTTGTGGATATAACAAGGGAATAACGAGAACCGTTAAGTTGCAGGACTGTGCCTGTTTGTACTTCTGACGGTGTTCTCTTGCTCTGCCGTGTGCTGTGATCTCTCCTGTGAATGCAGAAAGAGCAGCAGGTCTGAATCGGATTGTGCTTGCCTTCTTCCTAGAACCATGATTGTTGATTAGGAATGGTATTGGGCAACTTGCTGCCTTGCAGAGGTCCGAGTGTTGGCTGGTGAGAGTTTCAGCTGTGTCTCTAGCTTGCTAGCATTGCAGTTGTGTTTAGGACCGCGGGAGCTGCTGTGTCCCTGTGAAATGGGAAGTAGGACAGCAACCTCTCTGCTGGAGCTGAGGGATTACTTAGAAGAGGCATTTCTCTGATGAGACTGTTCCTCTTGAAAATCTCAGGTCAGCTTGTGCTAACCCATCAGGCTGGTGCTTTCCTGCTGTCACTTGACGTGAGCCAGTTCTGTCCCCCGTGCTGCAAGGCTGGTGTCGGCGTAGATCGCCTGCGGTTGTCTCACATGGCCTGTCTGCAAGCCAAGCTGCGGGCTCCGCTCGGGTGAAGATGATTTCTGTTATGGTTTGGAACTGAAAGGCACTCTCACTGTTTATCTTGGATTTCTGCATTTGACCTTGATGTTCCCAGCCTCTCCCTTGCTTCCTGCTGTTTGTTTGCGTCCTGCCCGCTGCCGCCCTGCAAGAGCTGCTGGGGACCTGCCGGCTGGTGGCTGACCTCTTCAGCAGTGTCCTGGAGTCGGGGGCTCTTGCCCAGCGTCTCCGAGGTGCTTCGCAGGTACTGCACAAGTGGCTAAAGACACGTTTGTGTTGGGTGGGAGCTATCCTCGCAGCAGACTGGGGGTGGAAGGTTTCAGGAGCAAGGTGGAATCCTCCTTCCCAGGAGAAGTGGGAACCTCCGTCTGACCCAGCGCAGGCAGCTCTGTTCCTCTCCAGCCTCCCTGTGCCAGGGGCTGAAGCTGTGAGCAAGCAGAGCATCCAGAAATAATGCCCCATCATGGAGGTGACATTGTGGCCACTTGGAGGCATCTCGAGAAGCATTTGCTTCCCCCCTTGGCAGGCAGCAGTGACAGGCTCTTCCTCTCCCATCGGCTCCATCGGCAGCGGCTCTGCAGTTCCTGCTCATGTACAAAAATAGTGACAAAAGTCACATCTCCCTGCTCCCAGGCAGAGGCAGCCCTTGCTCTCAGGCAGATTTCTGCTCTCTTTGCCATGCTTTTCAAGTACTGGGGCAAGAGCAAGGATTGGCAGAGGTTGCATGAGCCACACAAAAATGCCGTGGAGTTGAGATCAGCCTTGTCTTTGTGGTATTTTACTTTCCTCTCTGTGGCTACTGCCTCCCTTTCCTGCCCCAGACTTTCCGATTTCCACTTTGTGGGATTAAACCAGAAGAAGCAAGCCCTGGGAACTTTCCTTTTCTGTAATTAAATTCCTCCCTTGTTCCTTTACTCCCCAGCCCTGCTTTGGAGGAGGCTTGGGCACAGTCTCCCCAGGACCCGAGAGTGCTGCTCTTGGCAGGGCTGGAGGATGCTTCGCCGCAGAGGGATCCCCCTTTCCTTCAGCTCCAATAAAGCTTCCTTGTCTGCCAGCCTGGAGCCTGCAGGACCATGTGGTGGAGTCAGGGATGTTCCCTTTCCTGCTGGAAATTCCCCTTAAATCAGGGAGACCCATGGAGACCTGCTGGAGGTTGGTGCTAACCCTGGTTATCGTGGGCTCTGCTCACATACCAGACTGACTGTCTTGCTGTGAGCCGATGGGTGCCGGCAGGGTGAGATGCTTGAGGGAGCTGAGAAGCCTGCGAAGAGTTAACTCCATCAAGACTGATGGCTTCCTGAGCGAAAAGAGACCTCCTGAAATGAGCTCATGTTCAAGGGAAGCAGAACTTCAAAGAGGCCAGGCATGTTTATTTAATGCTGGTAACTTAATTCAACTCTAATCTGTCCCTTCTGCTGGTTGCCAGCAGAGGTGGAGGGTGCGGGGCTTCTCCCAGGCACATCCCCTCTCTGGCTCCGGGGCCTCCCACTCCCACCAGTGTTTGCTTAGCTGGGGCCCCAGCCACACCGACGGGAGCTTTCAGGAGGGAAGGTTCGTGTGTGAAGGGAGGAAAGGGAGGTCAAACGGCGAGGAGGAACAGCTCTCTGCACACCAGGTTGGTAATTACATCACTGTCAGGTTGCGCTGTCTGTGCGGTGGCCTGCTGGGAGAGCTCCGCTGCGGCCGGCGGACAGATGGCTCCAGGCTCCCGGGCATCTCCTGCAGCTCCTCTCTCAATGCAGCACAGCTTGAAGCTGGGGGGTTCAGATAAAGCTGTGCTGCCGGGGAAACCTAGCTCCAGGGCTGCCTACGCACGCGGTCGGTCCTGATCCCCTCTGCTCCATATCAGCCTGCAGGCTGGGGTTGAAGGTCAGCTCTGCTGCGCCTACAGAGCAGGGTGAAATGCAGCAGAGCTCGTGCTGTGTGTCCTCAGCTTCGCCACACCAGCTTGGCAGCAGTCAGGGAAGGCAGGTCCCCGTGACTGTCCCAAAGGGAGCGGGGTTTCTGTGGGTGTGCAGCTTCCTCCGGCTCCCCACCCATGGCAGCGGGGCGCTCCCGGCGTTGTCTCTCGGGGAGGAATCCCCCCTCCGCTCTTCACACGTAGCGTAGAGCATCTTGTGTGTCTTTTCATGCCTCTGACACATGCTCTTTACCCTCAAACACATTCCCTGGGCTGTTAGGGTACAAGGTGAGCTGGACATCCTGTAAAACCGAGTGCTGGATGGCAGCTTGGAGCTCTGCTCGAAGGGCAGCCTGTGTTAACGAGAGTTTCTGCAGTTCCCTTGCACAGGAGGTGCTCATGGCTTGTGGGTTCACTTCAGAGTTTCAGAAATGAGCTTTTTTTTGACTGTTTCCAGAAGAGCTGTTTGCACACCCGTTCTTAGTGAGTCAAGCAGTCAGCATACAGAAATAATGTTTGAGAAGTATTAATCTATCACAGCAAATATACATAAAACAGACAAATTAAGCTTCCATGGGGAATCGAACCCAAGCTTACTGACAAGGTTTTGGACTTTCCTGTTGCACGGTGGGGTCAGAGTTTCAGAATTAGGGCAAAACGGAGGAGAATGGTGTTTCCCCATCTTTAGATATTGCAGCACCCGAAAGCAAGGCCAGAATACACTGCGTGCACATCGCTTAACGGTGTGGATTTTTCAACGGAAGACCCTGAAGGTGTGTTGAGTAGGGAAGGAATTATCCACATCTGCCAGGCCTGCGTGCTTTTCCCTTTGAGTCACGTAGTGACTCAAACTGACATTGCAGGAGATCCTGTGCAGGAGGTTGGCTGATATTCTCAAGCTGAGAGCTCCAAGGTTTAGATTGTGATGCACGTAAGTGGTGTACGGGTCTGTGCAGCATAGCCGTGTTAGGCAGAAATGTAAATTGGGAGGAAAGCAGAGATCGAATGAGTAAAACGTGGAGGTCAGCTGTTGTGGCTTAGCCCCCGTGGGCAGCTGAGCCCCCCCAGCTGCCCGCTCAGCCCCCCAGCAGGATGGGACAGAGAATCAGAAGGGTAAAAGTGTGAAAACTGCTGGGTTGAGACACAGACAGTTTAACAGGTCAAGCAGAAGCTGCACGTGCAGGGCAAAGCCAAGCTTCCCGTCGCAGGGAGGCGTTCAGCCGTCCCCAGGACAGCGGGGCTCCGTCGGGCTTGGGAAGACAAACGCCATCGCTCTGAACGTTCCCCCTTCCTCCTCCTTTCCCCAGCCCCTCTTGCTGAGCACGGCGTCACACGGGATGGGACAGGCCTTTGGGCAGTTGGGGTCAGCGGTCGCGGCTGTGCCCCCTCCCGGGTTCTTGTGCACCCGCAGCCTACGCGCTGCCGGGGCGGCGTGAGAAACAAAGACCTGGACACTGCGCCAGCCCAGCGCAGCAGCGGCTGAAACATGGGGGGTTACCAGCCCTGGTTTGGTCACAGATCCACAGCACAGCACCATAGGAGCTGTTTTTACAGAAATTTAACTCTAGCCCAGCCAAACCTAGTACAGTATTTTTGGAAAAAAACTTTTTGCATGCGTTTTGCTTTTTCTAAACTTCCTGCTCCTGGAGGAGTCTGTGGGCACGTCAAGATTTCACGGCTCGTAAATGGGACAGAAACAATCCTGCTCTTGGGTCCCTGACATTAGTGGAGCAGATTTGGAGAGCTGCTTTGGAGAGTCCCTCTCCATTATAAGCAGTACAGAAAATCGATGCTGAGGATCGACCTAAAGAATGAGGATTGTTGCTTAGTTACTTTAAATCATGTCTGGGTAGAAAGAGAGCGAGAGAGACGCACACACAAACGGAGGTGCTGCTGCTAAGGGTCAGGGCTAAACGGATTGAGGAGGGAAATAGAAGACTGTGGTAAAAATCACTGAGAAGAAAAAGGAAAGAGATAAGAGGCTGGTTAATAATTGTAGTTTCCAGGGCCACCTGCCCTCAGCAGGGGGGTGGGATGAGGGAGATCCCCCATCAGCCAAGGCATGGTCTTGTAGGGAGGAGATGTGGCTGCCTCTGTTAGCCATGGGAACATGGGGGTTTCACACCCGATCCCAGAGCAGAGGAAAGTTCAGGTCTTTGTAGTCAGGGAAACTCAGCTTGGAAGAGGATCCATGAGAAGTT